GCTTCCCTCAAATGTAAAAGGCCATGTGTTCCATCCCCAGCACCACAAAATACATACACACATCAACAAACAAATAATAAATAAAATTATTATTTTATTATTTTTTTATTATATGACATGGGAATGCATTACAATTCATATTACACATATAGAGCACAAACTTTTCATATCTCTGGTTGAATACAAAGTATATTCACACCAATTCATGTCTACATAAATATACTTTGGATAATGATGTCCATCACATTCTACCATCATTTTTAACCCCATTCACCATCCCTTCCCCTCCTACCCCTCTGCCTTATCTAGAGTTCATCAATCCTTCCATGAGCTATCCCATTATGAATCAGTCTCCTTATATGAGAGAAAACAATCAGCAGTTGATTATTTGGGATTGGCTAGTTTCACTTAGCATTATCTTCTCTAACTCCATCCATTTACCTGTAAATGCCATGATTTTATTCTCATTTATTACTGAGTAATATTCCATTGTGTATATATGCTGTATTTTTTTATCCATTCATCTATTGAAGGGCATCTAGGTTGGTTCCACAGTTTAGCTATTATGAATTATGCTCCTATAAACATTGATGTGGCTGTGTCCTTATAGTATGCTGTTTCTCTGTCCTTTGGGTATAGACCAAGGAGAGGGATAACTGGGTCAAATGGTGGTTCCATTCCCAATTTTTCAAGGAATCTCCATACTGCTTTCCATATTGTCTGCACCAATTTGCAGTCCCAAAAGAATTGTATGAGTGTACCTTTTTCCCCACATCCTTGCCAACACTTATTGTTGCTTTTATTGTTGTTTGTCTTCATAATATCTGCCATTCTGAATGAGATGAAATCTTAGAGTAGTTTTGATTTGTATTCCTATAACTGCTAGCAATGATGAACATTTCTTCATATATTAGTTGATTGATTGTATATCATCTTCTGAGAAGTGTCTGTTCACGTCCTAGGCCAATTTATTGATTGGGATAATTGGGTTTTTTTTTGGTGTTTAGCTATTTGAGTTCTTTATATACCTTAGAGATTAGTGCTATATCTGATGTGTGAGGGGTAAAAATTTGCTCCCAAGGTGTAGGCTCTCTATTCACCTCACAGATTGTTTCTTTTGCTGAGAAGAAACTTTTTAGTTTGAATCCTTCCTATTTATTGTTTCTTGATTTTAATTCTTGTGCTATAGGAGTCTTAATAAGGAAGTTGGGGCCTAATCCCAAATGATGAAGATTAGGGCCTACTTTTTCTTCTATTAGACGCAGATTTTCTGGGTTTATTCCTAGGTCCTTGATTCATTTTGAGTTGAGTTTTCTGCATGGTGATAGACAGGGGTTTAATTTTATTTTGTTGCATATTGAGTTCCAGATTTCCCAGCAGTGTTTGTTGAAAAGGATATCTTTTCTCCAATGCATTTTTTGGTGCCTTCATCTAATATAAGATAATTGTAATTTTGTTGGCTAGTCTCTGTATCCTCTATTCTGTACCATTGGTCTACCAGTCTATTTTGGTGCCATTCCATGCTGTTTTTGTTACAATTGCTCTGTAGTATAGTTTAATGTCTGGTATAGTGATGCCACCTTCTTTACTCTTCCTGCTAAGGATTGCTTTTGCTATTCTGGGTCTCTTATTTTTCCAGATGAATTTCATGAATGTTTTTTCTATTCTCTGAAGGATGTCATTGGGATTTTGATTGGAACTGCATTAAATCTGGATAGTGCTTTTGGAAATATGGTCATTTTGATACTATTAATTCTGCCTATATAAGAGCAAGGTAGATCTTTCCATCTTCTAAAGCCTTCTTTGATTTCTTTCTTTAGCGTTCTATAGTTTTCATTATATAGATCTTTCACCTCTTTTGTTAAGTTGATTCCCAAGTATTTTATTTTTTATTTTTTTTAGGCTATTGTAAATGGGGTAGTTTTCCTCATTTCCCTTTCTAGGGATTTGTCATTGATATACCAAAATGCATTTGATTTATGGGTGTTGATTTTATATACTGCTACATTGCTGAATTCATTTACTAATTCTAGAAGTTTTCTGGTGGAATTTTTGGGTCTTCTAGGTATAGAATAATATCATCAGCAAATTGTGCTAATTTGAGTTTTTCTTTTCCTATGTGTATCCCTTTAATTTCTTTCATCTTTCTAATTGCTCTGGCCAGTGTCTCAAGAACTATTTTAAATAGAAGTGCTAAAAGAGGGCATCCCTGTCTGGTTCCAGTTTTTAGAAGAAATGTCTTCATTTTTTCTCCATTTAGAATGATGTTGGCCTGGGGCTTAGCATGGATAGCCTTTATGATGTTGAGATATGTTCCTGTTATCCCTAATTTTTCTAGTGCTTTGAACATGAAGGGATATTTTATTTTGTTGAATGTTTTTTTTTCTGAGTCCCTATTGAGATGATCATATGATTCTGATCTTTAAGTCTATTGAAGTGATGAATTAATTACATTTATTGATTTCTGTATATTGAGCCAACCTTGCATCCCTGGGATGGATCCCACTTGATCGTGGTGTACTACCTTTTTGATATGTTTTTGTATTCGATTTGCCAGAATTTTATTGAGAATGTTTGCATCTATGTTCATTAGCGATACTGATCTGAACTTTTCTTTCTTTGATGTCTCTTTGCCCGGTTTTGGAATCAGGGTGATATTGGCCTCATAGAATGAGTTTAGAAGTGGTTTTTCAATTTCCTGAAATAAAATGAAGAGTATTGGCATAGTTCTTCTTTAAGGGTCTTGTAGAACTCAGTTCTGTATCCATCCACTCCTGGGCTTTTCTTGGTTGGTAGGCTTCTGATGGCATCTTCTATTTCATCGCTTGTAATTGATCTATTTGAATTGTGTACATCATCCTGATTCAACCTGGGAAAATTATATGATTCTAGAAATTTGTTGAAGTCTTCAACATTTTCTAGTTATTGAACTACAAGTTTTCAAAATAATTCCTAATTATCTTCTATATTTCTGTAGTGTCTGTTGTGATACTTCCTTTTTCATCCTGTATGTTAGTAATTTGAGTTTTCTGTCTCCTACTCTTCATTAGCATGGCTAAGAGTTAGTCAATTTTATTTATTTTTTCAAAGAACGAACTTTTTGTTCTGTCAGTTTTTTCAATTGTTTATTTTGTTTCAATTTCATTGATTTCAGCTCTGGTTTTAATTATTTGCTAGCTTAATTATTTCTACTTCTTTTGGTGTAGATTTGCTCTTCTTTTTCTAGGGCTTTGATATTTAATGTTAGTCATTTACTTGTTGACTTTTTCTTCTTTTAAGGAATGAACTCCAGGCAGTGAACTTTCTTCTTAGAACTGCCTTAATAGTGTCCCAGAGATTTTGATACATTGTATCTATGTTCTCATTCACCTCTAAAATTGTTTTGATCTCCTTGTTGATATCTTCTGTAACCCTTGTTCATTCAGTAACATATTGTTTAGTCTCCAGATGTTGGAATAGACTTTATTTCTTATTTTATAATTGATTTCTAATTTCATTCTATTCTGATCTGAGAGAACACAGGGTAGTATCTCTATTCTATCAGAAATAATTTTTTTTATGTTTGTTAAGAGTTTCTTTGTGGCATAGTATATGGCCTATATTAGTAAATGATCCATGGGCTGCTGAGAAGAAAGTGTATTTGCTCACTGAAATAAAATTCTTTAGAAAAAAGTCCTTCTAGATATTTCTTTCTTAGTTCTCACATTTTACTTTCTTTAATGTGGTACACATACTTATTTCAAATACATTGGGGTTTATAAATGCAAGCATTAGCTCTTCTACATAGTAAGCATCATGGGGAAATGTGTCCAGTATTCTAACACCTAGAGCTCAGTACAGTGTTTGGCACTTGTATAAGGCAGGGGCCAGTAGGAGACTTGTGAGATGCCAGAAGTGCAAAACGTAGAAAAGACCTCACACCCCAGGTCACACAGTCAACCTCATCCACACAATGGAAGGCCACACTACACTGGGTACCCAGGGTCCTCCCTGGTTTAACCCTACCCCAGGCCCTGCAGCAGAAAGTTCCAACACATTAAAACAACTGTTAGTGAATAGCACAGTCCACATACACACTCAGGGCCAAGGCTAAACTCAAATAAACAAAGTTGGCTGCTCTCTGCCCTGAAAGTCCTGGCAGGAAAGCCCACAGCAGAATCCAAACACGTTGCCACCCAAAGAACAGACCCACAGGCAATAAAGAAGGGAAGACAGGAATGAGTGCTCCACAAGACATAGAAGAGAGGACTGCGCTTCCATTGCCTCACCTTGTTCTCACACAATCCCACTGCAATCCCTAGGATGAGAGGGGCCAGCACATGTGTTGCTGCCCACCTTCCTCCCCATTTCTAGTCTCCCACATCGTTCTCCTCAGGAAGTCAGAAGAGGAAGCCTGACATCAGTGTGAGGACACTCCTCAGTCTTTCTCAAGAATCCTTTGGGACTCAGGCCAACCCTACACAACTGACCAATTTCTTCTCCCGCTTCTTTGGTCAATGTCTGTGCATTGCTTAGATTTGCAAGTGGAGGTTCAGGTCTGTGGTCCTTTATACACTACCTCATAGTCCACTTACTTAGGTAATTAATATAGTGTTAACTTTTATTTCAGCATCTTTACTGTAGAAGAAGAAAATTTTAAAAAATAGAGAAGATAAAAGAACGTAATACTTAGGGAAATGCAGCAGGAAAGGAGAAAAGTAAAAGCTACAATGCAATTTTAAGAAATATCTAGTTTCCCCGCACAGACAAGTGATTGAAGAAGAAAAGACAGAAACTCGCATGAACACCCACAACAAGCTGGGCCCTGAGTGAGAAATTATATGTGCTATTTCTCAATGAAGGAGTGTACATAGCCCATCTAGGGGAGAAAAAGCGGAGGTTATAAGGTTAAAATTTTCTTTTATAGGACCACACAGCCAGCTTGTTGCCTGAGGTCTGTTCGATCTAAAATCTTTGAACTTACCATGTTGCAAGGTGAATACACATTGAGGAAAACTTACCGTGTAGTAATCATACCAGCGGGCTTCTGGGAAATAAGCAGTGACATTTCTGGCATTCTAAAATTAAACACAAACAAGGTATGAGCAGTGGATGCTGTTATCTAAGACATAGAAAACAATTTGCATAAGAAAATGGGTAGTGTAATAGTGATTGTATTTGACCAACTCATCACAGCTCTCTGAAATCAAACACAAACAATGGGTGCTCAAGAGGCACTGTTTTTGGAGACCTAGTAAGCAATATGGCAGGAGAGGGCCAATTAATTAATGGTGGCTGATACCCATCTATCTTAGTGTCCTGAAGATCAGCACTACTGAGTAAGTCTTCAAGCTTCACCTTTCAAATGCAGTAAAGTTGACTGTACCAACACAAGGGGCTTTCAGATAAGCCTTGGAGATCCAGGAAGTCACTAATAAGAATTAGATTTGCTCACAGGCTCACAGAAATATCCCTCTAGAGAGATAAACAACTTGGGGTAGATGTGGATCTGGAGTCAGTGTTTGAGGAGGTGAGATTTATGGTGTTTTAATCAGAATCCTAAGCTACCATGAGGGGAAGTGAAGACATGGTCTTTGCTGGCTGCAGGACCTTGCACAGAAGCAAGGCAAGGCTATCGGAGATTCATTGATGTTCACATGCTGCTAGGGGTTCTCCAGCAAAGTCTCTTTCAATGGTGACAGAGGACTGTGATGAATTCTTCATACTGAGGCCCCATCTATCCCTGGACTCCTTATTTTAGTCAATAAACTAAAAATGGTATCTCACCATATCATAAGGATACAGTTTTTCTTGATTATCTTATGAACTTGAACTGCTAGGGTAACTTACAACAAAAAGGAACTGAGGCCAGAACACCTACATGCTACACTTCTGCTCAGAAGGAGAGGAAGACACAAACCAAGAACAATCACTCATGTCCCGGGATCTACACACACCAGGCTTTTTCTCCTGCCTCTATTTGATACCCTCACAACTGAGATCCACCACACATCAGAGGCCTCCATACTCACAGCCTGCAGCACAGGGCTGACTAGGAAGGCTGGACCCAGCAGGAACTGATCATCTATGTCCCATGTCACCTGGTCTGACACAAATCTGGGAAGGGTAAGAAGATGTCACAGTCAGAGTCCCAGCCCAAGTCCCCAAGGAACAACTCAGGTTCAGAGGCAACTCTCCCATCCAACTCCATCTTATGTCATCCTTAGTCTTTGTCTAGATTGATCAGGGACATATGGGCTTCAAAACTCTACATGTCATTTTTCCTGACTCTCAAAAACAGTTCAGATATGAATGGTTACTTGAAAAATACTCCACCACATCCCATGACACATTCTAAATGTAAAAAAGGCAACCAGTGCCTTCTCTTGTGACTCCAACTAATATTGGCTTTAGTCCACATAAACACAGTATACTAAAGCAGAGAGAGAAGTCTCCGAGTGGCCGAATAGGAAAGAAATGAGGATGTGTGGCATCTTCTCAAATATTTTTCACTCAATAAATAGTCTCTCCTCAATGACACATAGTGTGAATAACAGAGTGCTCAAGAGGGTACAAAAGTTGGGTCTCTGCCTTGAGAAATTATAAAAAAATAAAATCATGACTTTGTTAGGAAGAGTTGTTTGCATTAACTGCCACCCTACAAAACCAACAAAACTATCCATCATTCACTGGGATCCCAGCTGGACACTTACTCATGCAGAAGAGGCCGCACCACAGTGCTGCCCTCCGTGTGGGCCTTGAACATCAAGGTGTACAGATATGGCAACAGGGTGTATCGGGTCTCCATCACACTCCTGGAAATATTCACAAAGGCAGCATCCCAGGACACAGGGTCTTGTCTCTAAGGAATAAAAGCACAGGTGTTGAGAGCCCAACCCAGGGACCCTAGGGACCAAAGGAGGTAAAGGAAAGCTTGATCCAAGTACATCACACACAGCTAAGCTAAAGGTGATCAAATACACTTAATAGTCTGATAATAGTCAGTGAGGATCTTCCAGGAGACCTCATGGACTTTGCCAAAGAAACACTTCAGGGATATACTTGGAGCAATCCTTCCTACACCTAAAGAATCCTCTGATAATCCTGAGTATTTTGGCAATTGTGAGGAGCTTGGATGGCTTTGAAAATCTCCCAGGAACAAAGATGGTCTGGACTGTGACTCCAAGGTGAAGGCTGCACAGCTTGTGAGGCAGAGCACGTGAGGAAGGAGGAAGGTCCTACCCTGGTGCCAATGGTGTTGTGGTTCCTGGAGAAGGGGTAAAAGGCTCCCAGCTGCATCCAGCGAGCACACATCTCATACTCAGCATCTTGGAAGAACCCACAGATATCTGCTCCCGTCTGAAACCAGAGGAAAGGAAACCAGCCTGTGTGTGATTGCTCAGGGGTGTCAGTGTCCTCTTAGGGATGAGAGGAGCAAAGGTCACTTACATAGGAGATGCCAAAGAGGCTGAACTCCATCATGCCTGCAATGAGAACCATGGCTGTCAGGAGAGGCATGTGTGTGCCCTGCCCTCTGCTCCCTCCTTTCCCAAGGCCACCAGCTCCCTTCCCTGCAGCAGAGGCCCTGGGAACAAGCCACACACCAATGATAGATTTCTTCAGCTGGTCCCATGCGGCAGTGTTGTCTCCCAGCCAGTGTCCTCCCCAGCGGCCAGAGGAGGGGAATGTGGAGCGGGTGATGACGATCCCTCGTTGTCCAGTCACCTCCTGCACAGCTCTGGTAGGAGGGGAATGTACAGGTGAATTGAGGACACAGCAAGAAGAATGGAATAGGGATTCCCTTTCCATGAAAAGAACAGAGGACATGGGAACAAAATGTTGGTTACGTGAATGGCGGGAATATGGGGAAGTGAGCAATGGAGAGGGTCCTACTGACCCATGGACACAACACACCTTCATGGTGTCTTAACAGGGATTTCACCATGTTTCAGACCCACTGGTTACCCAGAGAGTAAGAAATTACTGAATCCTTCCACTTATTTATTATCTCTTGGTTATCTGTATTTGAGGAATAGGAGAGAATATCACTTTATGGGATTTTTCTTAGGATAATTTCTAATATTCATTGAGTTTAATTCCACAGAAGATCCCTTTACTATACATTAAAAATGGAAAAAATATGCTGATACAGAAGTTTTATTTTTGAAGAAAAGGTGAGATATGTACAGTCCTTATGTTCTCTTTACCTCATGTAACTAATGCATTTAAAGAAGCAACTGCACTGTGTAATACTAACTGGTGCCAACATATGAGTCTCCCCAAACAGAACTAGTAGTTTCTTACTTATGGGACAATATTCTAATGAAAGTTGACCTCCTACTTATACTCACAGGGTCTGGCCCCATGGTTAAGGACTATTTGTTTCAAAAATGAAAAATGTGACAGAGTTACAACTAAATGTTCTTCAATCTTGCGATGGATTGCTATGAAAAACTTAAAAGTTATGCCCAGCACTATGTGTCCCCACAGGCTGAGCCCACTGGAGAAGGAAAACGGTGACTCACTCATATGTGGGTCTGGTCTGGGACCACCCATACAGGCTGTGCACATCATAGTGTCGCACGCGGGAGCCATCTGGAAGGATCTGCTCACTCTCCATGCACAGGGTCTTGCTGCTTAGGCCCCGGTCCCTGGACTCCAGATCTGAGGGAAAAGATTTGGGAAGGTGAAAACCAGCCCTGAGCCTTTTAGTCCCTGACCTCTCCTTAAGGCATTTAACTACACGTCTTAAGATGGACTTGACTTCACCATGGCCCCAACCATGGGATTGTAACTAAGAAAAGGGCTTTCTAGACAAATTCAGGAAATTTGCCCAAGAGATCCAGAAACTTGCACCAAAAAGTTTGGAAAAGGACTTGAAATGTTTAGTTTCTGGCCCCCAATAAACCAAAAAACTCATAAGGCTCTGCTGGTCAGGAAAACCTCTGGCTGCTGAGCTCAAACAATGATTATCTTCCATCTTCCATCAAGCCATGGAGAAGCCCAAGGGTCCTTACGTGGCATGTAGGGAGGACGGTTCAGACTGGCATCACTGCAGCCTGCAGGAACAGCCCCATTCACAAAGCTCGCTGGTTCATTCATATCCTAGAAATGTCAGACACAGACATTGCTTACTCTTAACTGAGAGACTTGTTGTCAACTGAGAGTCAAGGGAGTGGTGAATACATCATTCACACCAGTACACCTGCTTGTGGGTACTGGTGTGTGTGCTTGCACAGTCAGGCTCATCAAATGCAGATAAGAATTGGCTAAAAAAATAATTAATCCCTAAAGGATGACTGTCTGGAAGGTCAAAACTATACTCCCTCAGAGTAAACAAGTTTCTGAGGCATTCTTGGCAATCTCCCTAGAGGTCTGACAGAGTGAGTTACAAGCTACAAGGAATATCAGTTCAGGAAATGCACCATAACATATCCAAAGTCTTTCTCAGAAGTTTACTATCACCTGGATTAAAAGTCTGACTTTCATATGGTAATCACACCAAGTTAAACACACACACACTTACAATCCACATGCCATCAAACTTCAAGCTCCTCTCTGGATTCTCTGGATTATTGTACAGTTCTGCAATTTCTCTCTTCCACCACAAGGCAGTTGAAGTACGGAAAAAGTCTGGGAAGGCCACATAAGCTCGGTATTCCTATAAAAACATATATAATTCACTATCCCAAATGAATATATCTTACAGCAACAGGCACTTTTGAAGAACCTAATTAATGAAAAGAC